ATTCTTGATTTAGCTTTGATTAACATCTTCGGTGTGAGATATTCCTTCAGCGTGTATTTTCATTGATACCCTTATCCGATCGCATTCTTTGCGGCCGTCTTCACCTCTCGTTCGGCGCGCCATTCGCGCAACCTGCCGCTATCCCGCTATCCCGCTATCTCGCTATCTCGCTATCTTCACAATGGCTGGACAATCCAAAGTCGAGGTACTGCCGCCATGGGGCAATGCCGTGGCTGGAGCTGCGGGTGCAGTCATTGCAAACACGCTCGTCTACCCGCTGGACCTGTAAGCCGTCTTTCTTCTGCTCCTTCACTTGCTCTCTCGCTCGCTCGCACATGTGCCTCAGCCGGGTAGAGGTACACACTCGGTGTGCATCAACGGCTAACATATCCGCAGCATCAAAACACGACTACAAGTGCAGGTCAAGCGCTCGCCCACGTCCACGTCTGTGAACCCCGCCGACCACGAGCACTACGACAGCGCTGTCGACGCGATAAGGAAGGTGGTCAAGCATGAGGGCATCGCTGGTCTTTATGCCGGCATGGCAGGCTCGCTCCTGGGTGTTGCATCGACAAACTTTGCCTACTTCTACTGGTATACCGTCGTTCGCACACTCTACATGGCGCGACGCGCCGCGGATACGGCACCGGGCACAGCAATTGAGCTGTCGCTCGGCGCCGTAGCTGGAGCCCTGGCCCAGCTGTTTACCATCCCCGTCGCCGTCGTGACAACACGACAACAGACCATGAGCAAGCATGAGCGCAAGGGAATGCTGGCGACCGCCATGGATGTCATTGAAGGCGAAGACGGCTGGACTGGGCTCTGGCGCGGCTTGCGCGCCAGCTTGATACTCGTCGTGAACCCGGCCATCACATATGGTGCCTACCAGCGGTTACGAGAGGGCATGTACCCCGGCAAGAAGACACTGAAGCCTTGGGAAGCATTTCGTGGGTACAGAACGCCATCGCAAACCACACGCCGCTAATAGTGCTAGTCCTCGGATCGCTGTCAAAGATGCTGGCTACCGTTGCTACGCAGCCGCTCATCGTAGCCAAAGTCGGTTTACAGTCAAAGCCACCACCAGCGAGAAACGGCAAGCCGTTCAAGTCCTTCACCGAGGTCATGCAATACATTATCCAACACGAGGGTCCCATGGCACTATTCAAGGGAATTGGGCCTCAGATCCTCAAGGGTCTGCTTGTCCAAGGATTCCTCATGATGACCAAGGAAAGGTATGCACACCAACGTTTCCTTTGCAACTTCACACTGACACGCACCGCAGGATCGAGCTGTCTTTCATCTTGCTCTTCAGATATTTCCGACAGATTCGGGCGGAAAAGCTACAGAAGCTTGCCGACATTGCTGCACAAAAGGCTGGCAAAGTCGCGCCAGTTCTCGTCAAATGAACTGGCCCACGGGGCCCTTCATATCTTGTTGTGTACACATTTTGTTCCATCTGTGAAATATTTGCATGCCAGGGATCTTTTTGGTGGTCAGATGGAAGCGCTGCGTAAATGCTGCGCCTGGGTTATTTCGTCAATATATACAGCGGAGGATTTTGTCAGCTCATCGAGATCGTGTCTGTATATCCTACAACTAGCGCAGCCCATTGCATTTTGTCTTCACTAATTTCACTGTGACGTCATTGACAAAGTGAACCGATGACAGCTAAGAGAACTGGTGCGTGTGAGCCTCGTTGTATCTTCCCACATCTCGTCTGTATCCGGGCATATCATTCCTCTAGCCATCATGGCCACACCGCCTCCTGATCTGCCATGGCACCCCATACCCTCGTCCACCGCAACATGTAAGGTTTATCTCCTACAGGCAGGAGGTCTTTACATCCCCAATGACATGACTATCCTTCCTGGGCCAGATCAGCCTAACGACTCAGTCAAGCCTGCATCTGTAGCCAGGGACTCCAAGCAAGAATCATTCTACGCCCCGGATTACGTCTTCCTAATTGAACATGTGGCTACTGGAAATAAGTATATCTTCGACCTCGGCATGCGGAAAGATTTGGAAAACCTACCGCCTCTGCTCAAGGAGAACGTGCTTCCGCAGTTCAAGTGCGAGCCTCAGTCTCCAGCGGATATACTCAAAGACCATGGCTCGACGGCACAACAGCCAGAGAACATCAAAGCAGTCATATTCTCACACATGCATTTCGATCATGTTGGCGATGGTGCCCAAGCGGGCTTTAGCAACGGGGAGATGTGGATCGGGCCTACGTGCTGCACTTATGCACGCCCTGGATATCCAATTGAGCCTCGAGCCCCGACGCTCAGCGATACCTTACCGGTAGATGGGAGTCGGAAGATTATCGAAGCGTACATCCCAGATGAGTTGTTGAAGGCAGCAAACGACAATCGAGCGGGCAAAGTCTTGGAGGGCATGAAGAAGGGATTGTACGCAGGGACAGATCTCAAGAAACCCGAGTGGATGGGACTTGGTGCTTTCGATCGCGCCTTCGATATCTGGGGTGATGGGAGCGCTTTTCTAGTGGATGCGCCGGGACACTCGGCAGGCCATCAGATGATGCTCATACGAACCACTTCCATATCCAACACGGAATCTACGTTTGTGCTCTTGGCCGGCGATTGTTTTCACCATCCTACCCTTCTTCAGGATCCGCAACGTACAGCTCGGCCACCGTATTCGAAGGAGAGTATGCATTCTGAGCCCGAAATCGCCATCGCTTCGATTTGGCGAACAAGAAAGTTCGCTGAGAGAGATGAGATTTGGGTAGTTGCTGCGCATGACTTCAGTGTTGGAGCTGCCATAGAGCAAGGAAAGAAGGTTATTGAGGGTTTAGTAGACATTGGAGGATGGAAGGAAATGGGCTGGAAGAAGCATCTTGAAGACGGAATATAGAACAGTGGCTCGAGTTGTCACTTTTGTTCTCTTGAGTGAGCATGTACATAGGGTAAACAGTGTCCGCCTCATGCTGCTGCGAACGCGCACCACCAATTCGTCCTGTCAGATCCATGACCATGCAAGTTGAATTCCGGCATCCCAACTGCTCTCGAGCCCTTCTCCCCATATTTCCGTAACAACTTCCATGGCTTATCTGGTCTTGGCTTTGCGACACAAAAGGCTTGACCAGCGTACCAAGCTCCGTCACCCATGTAGCATGAACGGCAGTCAATGTGACAGTGTTGATCCAGACTTCCACAGAGACAGGAAATGTGGAACAGACCAGTGTTGGTGAGTTCCCGGACCTACGGCCTTTCGAGAATGCCAAAGTCCGAGTAGGATTTGTGGTGAAGCGATGAGCGTCTCGACGTGTTTGAGCGGCTCTAATGCATAATCGACATGACACCATGCCGGCTGTGCGGCCGCCGCTCAGGCACGAAGAATGATATTATCAGGCCATATTTCACTTGGCGAAGTCTTGAAATTTGCCAGTCTTTGGATTAATCTACCGTTTGTGCTGCCATGCATGCGAAAACATGGTCTCGTGAAATATGCCGAAATCAACTTAGCCCAGCCGCACTCAGTGCGATACTGGTGTATTATCTACGCTACCAAGATGCGTGTGAGACAGGAATTATGTACAATAGTAGTAGTAGTTTTGACGCTGTATGCAGAAAACCCTCACATATCGGGGGTGCTTCTAAACCTCCTCCTTTACTTCTTCTACGTGACTAGAAATTCTCCTTGCCCCACACGAAATTAAATCCAGGTTGAGAGTACATGTTGCATTTGACGTGCAACGTTGAGCCTAGTCCCTTAGGTCCACAGAAGAAAACACCGGCCTCTGCTGGAGAATGGATCTTGCGGATTGACTTGAAGATCATGTCCCAGTTGGGTCGACCGAAATTGGTGGGAGCGCGCAGACCGGTGATGGCATCTTGTTCGGCATTTGCATCATTGATCATGATGTTGGTCGCGTCGTCTGCCTTGATTTTGGCGGTGAGGTACTGGAGGTAGATGTCAGATGTTGTGCGATAGCAGGAGTGAAGGAAAAAGCTTACAGTATGGATCTCAATGTGATCGTCGATATCCTGGGCCTCAATGGCTAGCAGCAAGGATCTGAACCACTCAAATGATCCGAAATCTCTGCAGATCCAAAAGAAGTAGACTTTCCTTAATCTGGTGCGGCCTTGCGGATAGTTCATCCGGTACCAGATACTCTTCAGAATAGACGCGAATGGCGTAACACCGATACCGGCTCCAACAAGAACGGCAACTTCGAACTTGAAGACATCCTCAGACGCCGAACCAAAGGGTCCGTCAATATAGACTCGAGGCAGGATTTGGCGGAGCGCAATTTCTTCGCTGCTACCACCCTTCTCGCCCTTTTCCCCAGCAGGTTTCTTGTCGATATTGCAGCCGAGTGCTTTGCCGACCGCGCGTGTGAAGTCACCAACCATACGCATGTGGATCGAGATGTAGTCCTCCTCGGGCGCGCTGGTAAGCGTGAAGGGGTGGTACTGCCAGATTGATACTTCGGGACAACACATGAAAATGTACTGGACACGTTAGCACTTGAGAGAGAGAAGCAACATCGGAAAATGCTTACCTGACCAGCGCGAGTCTTAGCGTGCTCCTTCTTGATCTGAATCTCGCATACATTGCTAGGATGTTGAATGACTTTCGATATGTATGTCTTGTGTCGTCCTCGAACTTCGCGAGCAATGCGCTCACCAAGGTACGCGAATCCACCGTACATCCAGTACTCCCAGAAGACACCGATTCCGTCGCAGAAGGGCGCAAAATCAGGCTTGATCATGCAGAAGGCACCGTGAATGGACCAAAACACGAAGAAGACGATGAATAGATGGTGAGTGTACCAGAAGCGCTCGAAGTTGGCTCGTCGTGCCTTTTCAGCGGCAGTAAACGCGATTGCCATCAATGCGATTAGCATGACATATCCACTCCATCCGGGACCGGTGGCAAGGTTGGCCAGGATAAAGCCCATGAAGCCGAGATTGTTGCCAGCAGAAAATCGAGCCAAGTTGTTCCAATGCGCAACCGTGTGCACCCAGGAGAAGAATACGATGGACCAAGCGACCAGCTTGTGGAAGGTGATGTTCTTGTCGAAAGGAATTACGTCGTTCAATGGAGTTCGACGGGCCATGGAGATTAGATTCCTGCAAACAGGAAACAGGATGAAAGCTACATCAACGTGCAGTACTAGAGCAGCGGAACGGGCGACTGGGAAAGTGAAGCCGAATTGCGCTCTTGAGCCGATGGACGTATCCTACGATGTGTGAGCAAGGCTAGTCAGCATGCGGAAAGGACATGCCAGCCGTACCTTTAACGAATAATGCATCATTCCAAAGGTGAATACAAAGACATGCAGTATCATGAATGCGAACACAAAGCTATCGCACGTTAGTTGCTGCCCACGGTAGTTTTGCGACCGACATACAATCGTCTGTAGCCCTCGTTGACCATCCAAACATCGAACTTTTCTTTTCTTGTCAAGGCACGTGGTCGCTCGTCGGACATCTCGCCAGACATGAGCATGCGCGTGAGTGGTGGCCATCTTGAGCGCTCTCGGCCGGTGAGACTGGTGGTGAAGGACATGGTTGGATGTGGAGTATTGTAGAGGCGCGATGCCTGGACTTGGTGCCGTCGATCTTCAGACCTGCTGAAAGTGGCCGAAGTGTAAAGATGATTTTAAAGAATGTCTAGAAGTCTAAAACGCAGATTAGCATCGTATGAAGGTGGTCGTTCTCGCCATGAGCAGCGCCGGCGACAGCGTGGAGTGACATACTAAGAGGTGCCCGCACAGGAGAAGATAATGTACAGAAGAGAGAAAGCTCTCGGTCACCCGGCTAAAGAAGCACCGGCATGAAAACGGGTCAACGTACTGCACCAAAGGGGGAAACAAAGTCTATAAGCACACGCAAAGCAGTGCAAGCATGGATGGAGGGTGGGCTGCGGTAATAGTGGTTAGGAAATCAGTGGCAGAGCCAAGTGGACATCGGTTCAGGGTGCGTGGAGACAGGTACCCAGGCTTAACGCAGACAGCGAAACGGTAGCAGAAATCGAACCACCTTTTTTCGACTCTGCCATCCCAAGCTGCAACAAGATGGGAAAGCGTCTTTCGCGAGCGCGTCGAAGAGCCGCAAGCTAGCGAATGGGAGGCTGAACATGGGCCCGCCGGGACTAGAGGTTAGCCCAGGTCATGCTCTGAAACCTGAGTGGCCATGGCAGGTCGCCTTTGCTATGCGAACTTGCAGAGGGGCGTGTTTCATAGGCGTTGGAGAGTGGGACTGACACGCGCTACGTCTGAAGGTCGATGGCGCTTATTCATCTGCCGACCACCACCCATCCGAAAAGACCCTCCACCACTCCGAGGAACACAACTGGCGCAGTGGCGCTGTCTCTAGGGCCGCCAATATCGTCCGACCGCTCACCTTAACCCCCCCGATGCAGTTTGGGCGCGGGTGCTGCAGATGCGGATTGAGCCGCCTGAGTCTCCACACCAAGGGCCAAGCACCGAATGCCATGGATAAGACAGGTGATCTTCTCGCTCATGGTTCTCTACTTCGAGTTACTACCTCCGGGTTGATGCGGTTTGAAAACTCCGACTCTTGTCCGTACACACCCGACGTACGACAATTATTGCATGTCTGAAATCATGTCTGTCTCGACCGATATACGTTAAGCAATCGCGCGCCATCTATCTATCGCTCGGATTGTTTCAAGGCTTCCATTTATTCACCGCGCAGCATCACGCAACGCGCAGATGCACGCCATTGTCTATTTACATCGATCGAAACATGTGAAGTCTGGGCATCAAACATCGCCACACAGGTACCTCTTCTCCGAAACGACGACAACGGCATCAGCCACATCTCAGATCATCAAGAAACCTCCAGAGGCGGAAATGCACTGGCCCGATATCCATCGCGCATCCTCGCTAGCCAGCCAGGCAACTACCCTCGCCACATCGTCCACAGTACCAATACGGTGTTCTACTGCCGTCGTTTTGAGCTGATTCTCGACAATGTCCTTGGGCACGTCATCTAGCATCTCTGACTGTGTAGGACCCGGAGCGACGGCGTTGACTGTGTGTCCTGCATCGCCCAGCTCCTGAGCTAAGCTTCGTGTCATGCCCTCAATCGCGCCCTTGGAGGCAGCATACAGTGCAAACTGTGGAGGCCCCATCCGAGCTCCTACGCTCGACATGTTGATGATGCGTCCTGGAGCTCGAAGATGGGGCACGACTGCTTTGGTCATGAGCAGTGGTGCTCGTACGTTGACGTCGAATATAGCTGCGTAGTCTTCGGCCGTCGTTTCTGCTACCGGCTTCGCTGTGAGGACTCCCGCATTGTTCACGAGAATGTCGATTTCATCTCCAAAAGCTTCGAGGGTGGCCACGACAATCTTTTCTGGCGCATCTATCCTGGAAAGATCTGCCTGGACCATCTTTGCATCGCTGCCATTCTTGAGAGATTTGATGTCTAGTACAAGTTTTTCGGTGAGCTGTTTGCTTGTTGGAGACGTGTAAACCAGTGTGATCTGATATGCATATAAGCCTCTCCATCTGTGATGACTTGCTGTTCGTTCCACCTACCTTGGCTCCCCTACGAGCCAGCTCCAATGCGATTCCTGCCCCTATGCCTCGAGAAGCGCCCGTAACGATGGCCACTTTGCTTTGCAGCGGAAGCGTATAATTATCGTGGGATGTCATGATTTAAGCTGGATAGGTGTCGTGATAATGTCGCCAAAGAGAGCTTCCTTTATAGCAAGTCTAATGCGGGTGTATTTTTCACGTCGTCACACTTCTTAGATGGCTTAGGTGTTATCAATCAACTCCACAGGTTCCTGCTCATCATTGCTAGATGGAGCTAAATGACTTGGCCACCTGTACGTCATTGTATAGAAAAGGTCGGAGGCACATCACAAAAGCCGAATTGTTTCGGAAGCGTTGCTGAATGAGAGAGCTAAATGTTTTGAAAGTTATATACGTATGAATTTAAACTGTCGATGATACCAAGATCGAACTGAAATGGGCCTGGCATGCAACTACGGAATATGCTCGCTGAAATGACGGACAAATCATATGGCATCAAAAAGCTCTTTGCTGCTTGGAAACTCGCAAGTCCGAGGAATGATTTATGGTGCTCGTGCTGTTCTGTGCCTCGAGGTTGTCCAGATTTTGTTTGGCAAGAGAGACAGACGTATTCGGACGAGTGCGCGGCGATTAGATGGTGGGTATATGCGCGTGCGATGTGTCCAAGGCTGGTTCAGTTGCAAACAAGCGTTCGGCCGTCGGGTGTTTATTTCTTCATGAAGCCTAAAAGTCCTCCGGCCTTCTTCTTGTTCGGATCGACCTTTTTAGGGTATGCTTTTGATGTTTCGAAGTGGATGTACCAGATCAGAACGCCGAATATGGAGAGACCAAATATGACGAGGAACAATGTGATAACTGGGCGAGCATCCGCCTGCACTGAGCGAAGGGCGGTAGGGGTCAGGATCGGCGCGAGCCATTCGAAAGCCATGATGAAGTCGGTGGCCGGTGTTGGGATGGGCTAGGGTAAATGCGGTTGGCAGAGTGCGCAGCGTAAGGGACGTGAAGAGCGTGACGCGGAGTGTACAATGCAGCCGGCTGCCGATATTAGATGGATGAGAAGTGAATGGATGCAACACTGTCGAAGGGCAAGAAACGAAGGCGACGAAGGTTAGTGTCGGGAGTGGCAGCTATTTCTCAATTGTGGTCTTGTAAGCGCCGCCAGGGGAGGGCGTGTGCAAAACGTGATCTGTTTCGTCAATGACCTGACCTTTGGTGAACTGCATAATGTTTCCTTGTCAAGCCATACACAAGACACAGGAAGCCGTCACGATGCGCAGAAGCGACTCTTGGGGTGCAAGTGTTTCGAAGCTGAGGCGGCACAGGGGCAGACATGAGACATTCCTTCCGATCCTGCGCTGCGCTGCGCGACTTGCCGACAAACACGTCGGGCCTCGAGGAGCGAAGGCGCAGTGGCAGATAGTCGACCAGCCATTAGCAACCACAGACTGGCCAGCATTCGCCAACGTGCACATGTTTCTCGAGCGTGTCCGGGTGCGAACAGTTGCGAGAGAGGGCCGACTCTCGGTGGGCTGACCCGGCCTCCGGCATGCGCTGAGGTCAGCCTTGGCTCTGCTGCCATTGGCCACGAAAAACCCTTCAAGAAAAGTTGGATCTGGGGACTGTGTTCGTTCACCGACTGTTCCCTCT